CTTATTTTTATTTTTAGGTTTCAAGACAATGAGCGATCTTTGCGTTTAAATTACTTAAATACTTTCCATATTCATTTTTAAAAAAATAAAATGAAAGTGGGCCACCTATCCTCTAAGATGATGAGCCTTGACGTGAAAATCAGCCAATCGTTATGCTCAACGTGGGTCCATATCCACCGTCCACGTTTCTTCCTTTTTTCTTTTTTTATAGTGGAAACGCCAAACGGAATGGTTCGTACAGTTATAAAAGCGCATGCACATGATCCACTCGCGAATAAATCCCCTACGGCGCGGACCACTCTATCAGGGACCATTATGTAATTCCCTCTAACCTCCTCTCTTTAATTTTACTTATTAAAGCTTTATTGTAGGTTTATTATTTATGCTCCCTTTGAGATTATTTTTTCAGTTGTTAAAACTTAAAAGTAAGTCATTGGTAATTTTAACTATTTTAGTGTTTGTTTCAAAATATATATATATATATATATATATATATATATATATATATTTTAGTGTTTACTAAAAATTATTTATATATTAATTTAAATTCAATTATATTTTTTTTAGTAAAAACTAGAGAGTGACAAACTCATGAAATTGGTTTCTCAAAAAATGTATGCCTCTGCCCATAAACTTTTTAGAATTTTCATTTTTTTTTATGTTGTACTGAACTAACTTGATTAATATTTAATTTTATTCTCATCGAAGTTTGTCAAAAGTACTACCAGTTTGGAAAATATCGAACTAAACATCCGCCCACCAACGGTCTTAGTAATTCGAATATCCGATAGCCAAAGTGATTTTCCTCGACTATGCAAATAGTTACCTAAATACTAGGAGATGAAAACTGTAAATTCAAATTCCAAGATTTTCTTATAGCAATGATTATTTATGAAATTCTATAAATACTCTAGAGTAAAGGTACCAACAGTAATTTCTTCAAGCATAGACTATTTTCTTTACAGTACAGTACTGACAAAAGTTTGTACTAACTCTCTTTTGCATTGTTTTATTTTGGAGTGTTCTCGAAGATCTATTGTGATTATCGAAATTTTTGGATACGTTGAACTTTGACTTTTGATTCTTTATAGTCCTTTAATCTACTCATAATTTTTTTAGAACTATCATTTTATTCGGCTTTTTTTTTTCATGTTTTAGATTTAAATGTACTAATGTTGCGTATTTGAACTTTGACTTTTATTCTTTACGGTTCTTATTGATAATTAAATAAGAACCTAATATGTTTAGGGTCAATTAGGCAAAATTTAAAAAGGCATGTGCATTATGCCCAATTTTTAAAATTTACATATCAAATCTTTTTTCATACACCATGTTACTTTATTTTGTCCGATTGTCTGCTATTTTTTTTTATTATGTCGGTCAAATTATCATTTAGTTAATCTTGTTAACAATAAAATATCTATAATTATTTATGGATATAATTGAAATTTTAAAAATTTGAGTGGTGGATATATAAAAGTATCAGGTTTAATGAATTATTTTAGTACCACCCATGTGATTGAGGATCAAACTCACAACCTCTTAATTAGAAATATATCTCACGGTAAAGAGAGAAAAAAATATTGGTTAAATGTATTGATTTGTAATAGTCTATAGTGTACCCGATTATCTTTGTCCGTTTGTGCGCCTGCAGATCCTGATAAGGTTAAAAGCCACGCACTAAGGGACGATTTCGTCAAAATGCCAGATCCCCCTCCACAAAAAATTTATCGAGAAAATATAATGAAATAATTTGAAGAAAAGTCATTATTTTTTTATGGTTGATCGTGACTTGATTGACATTGAGCCTATATTAGGATTACGAAAAATGACATAAATATTAATAATTTTTTATTATAATATAACCAAGCAAAGTTATTTGACAATATATAAAATGAAAATACATTTTTAATTAATTTGAATTTTTAAAAAACCATACTAATAATTTGCGATGTCACTAGAAAATTTCATATTTTAAAGGAATCATCTAAGTGTCTTGCTTTTATGTGGACTTAATTGAAAAGGAAAAGGTAGAGGGTTTTATGGACATTTTAATCAAGATTTCATCAAAAGCTCAATAAATTGAATAATATTTTCTTAGATGTTGACTTAACATTATACTTTGTATGTTTCTCAAAAGAAAAAAAAAACATTATACTTTGTATAAATCATGAGATAAATGTTCAAAAAGGCATATGTTTGACATTTGGGACTTACGTATGAAAAGATATAATTTGTTGTTTTTTCTTACAAAAGTATAATTAGATAACATAATTTCAATCTACAGACTAAATGAATTCAACTTTATTAATTTAATTTATTTATCATATTTACATAATTTTTTGCAAGTAGATTGATAAGCCAAGATAATAATTTCTGAAGCTGGGTTGATTAAAAAAAAATTGTAGATTGTGTATCAAACATGATTATAAATTTAATTTGTAAAAGAATATTCCATGTTTATTATGATTTAACTAGCAAATTTTGGAATTCTGATTTTGATCAATGTTTGTTTGTCTTAAATCAATTATATTTTTCAATTGGATTGTCCTCTATGGAGTTACTAGGAACACACATGTCTTTATTGTTTACTTTTTTTCAACAGGGATGTGGGTGAAAAATAATAGACATGTGTTTGGTACGTAGGCCGAATACTCATACTTCGACAGAAGTGAGAATCGATGATATGTTTTTCATACCAACCAGGTAAAGGTCGTGAGATCTAACGAACCGCTTGACTTGCCTAATTTTCCGGAGCATACATCACGGTTGACCATGGTCCTAACAATTTGTTAACTATAAATAATCGAAGGTAAATTCATTCTAAAGTACGCGTGAATCTGTGCAAATACTTGAGAGTGAAATAATTCAAATTAGTACTAACTTTAACGTTAGAGTGTTCATCTCTATTTTGCAGGTCTTTTGCAATCCAAATTTGCAATCCTTTAAGTAAATTTTATGCTCAAACACACGGTGTCTTTAAATTTCCGAGGTTTCGAATGCCTACATTTTTCTATTAAAAATGAAAATTTAAATTTTCTTAAATACAAGTAAATACGCATAGATTGATACATGAGAAGAAAGATATAAATTCACAGATGGTGAAAAGAATTTATAAAATATTATGATTTAAAATTAACACTTTCGTGGTTGGTCTTCCATGGTTAATATCTCTTAAGTTATAATTCACCTTTCTTATAATATTTTCAGAAAAGTTAAGATTTAAACCTTATTCTCATGGATAATATTTCAAGTCCAATTCTATTTTTTTGTTTCTTAAATATTTAAGAGTTATATTTTAATCCTAAACAATTACTTGGTCATTATAATCATTCTACCTTTAGTTGTTTAACAAATGGATGACCTAATTTCAAATACTATACATGTAACATAAATATGTATTAAAACTATGGTAAGAATTCGTGGCAAAATAAGGTAGATTAAAATGATTATTTTCTAAAAATTCAATAATCAAAATAAATTTGTAGATTCAAGTAAAATAAATTTAAAAATAGATGGAATAAAATAAAAGTTTTATAAAAAAAAATATATTTCTTCTTAAGTTTGAGAGTGAGAATTTCGGTTTGAGATTGGCAAAAGAGTTGAATTAATGATTGGATGAAGGGAAGGAGGAAAGTTTGGAGGGACGATCCAAAATAAAGGATCTTCCGACCTAACTTCTACCTGTAAATGGGCAGTGGGTCCCACGTTCCACCCTTTAAATTTTAATTATGCAATAAAATATATATTTTTCATTATCTCTTCTTTTTTTTTTCTTAAATAATATAAATTATAATAAATAGATTAAGTTGTTACTTACACGACAGTGTTGTAAATGGTAATGAAACAACGTGGCGGACATTAATTGGCTTCTGGGCCTGTCGTAGTTTGGTATGTGAAGGAGGGAGGAGGCCAATAATTGCTACTTTAAATTAATTAAGTACTGAAAGTTCCTTTTCTACTCGGTACTCACCCAGGTAGTTTTTTAAAAAATATCAATTTTAACGCTTAGTAAAATGTAAAAAATGAAATTATAGCGATTGTTTTTTTCTTTTTTTTTTCCCTAGTTCAAATTTGGAAGTTTTTATGGAGTTATTCAATCAAATTTAATTTCATGCAAAACTTGATTTTCATTTTGAGAGTTTTAGTGGTGAATTATTGAAGATTGAATGGAGGGTAAAATCTGACACACTTATCTAAATTTAAAGTTCAATGGAATGAAATTGAAAGTTTCGGGTGAAAATTGATACAACTGGCAAGTTTTTAGGTAAAAGTTGACATTTTCCTAATTTTTTAATCTTTTTGTTTTGATCCTTGTTTCAAAATATATGGATATTAGATAAATTTACAAAGGTATGTACTTGTCCCTTGATTGTGTTGAGCTATGTATATTTGATAGGTTTAAATTCCTATTTAGAAAGATTTCATGTCCATTTAACATATTTCCGAAGCAATAGTTAGTAATTAATCTTGGTTAGAGTAATTAGAGAGTAATTAAATATCTGTTTGGTAAAGTTCACAATTTTTTGTTTTAATATTTTAGAAACATAAGTGTTTTACAATTGTGCCTGTTTGTCTTATTATTAGGAAACATTTAAAAAATGATATAGAATTCTTTTAAACAACAAAATCAAATTTCTTATTTATTTTTCCCAGTTTTTCAATTTTTTCCAAAGCATAAATGAAAACATTATTTTATCATTTTTGACTTATAAAATGCATAATAGATATTTAAACAAATTAAATATAACATAAATATATTTAATTTTAAAAAACTGTCATATAAACGGTTATTTTTTATTTAAAAAATTTAGAGAACGAGTTAGTTAACATATATATTTCTATTTCTTTATTTCAATGAAAAAACAAAAAAATAAGAAATAATTATCAAATTCAAATTTGCTTTTATTATTAAAAATAAACACACAAAAAAAAAAACATAAACGAGAAGCAAAAATATTCCTAAACAAGTCTCAAAAGAACTACAATTTTTTTAAAAAATTTTAGTTAATGTGATTATATTCAATATTTTACAAAGAGATTTAACATCATAATTGAGAATGATTCAAGACCATTAAATTTGAGAAGAGAAATTTGATGCTTGTGAAAAATTTGAGATGTGATTTACAATTTTTTTAAAAGAATAATCTAAGATATACTAACATCAAGTAACAAGTACATCTTCCTTCAGCAATTAAATAGGAAAGCGAATCAAAGCAACTGAGTTCCCAGCTCTTTGTTTGACAATATTGATCTTCAAGTAAGTGAACAAGCTCACTTCTCTATAAAGTTACACCAAAATAATTGCTGTATAAGGCAAAGAAGAAAGGTTCGTATTTGTGTGGGCTTTAGTTGGTCAAAAAGGGCGCATAATTTTATTGATTAAGACATATATCAACAAAAAAATAAAAAATAGAAAGTTCTAATTTTCGCCCACACCCGATTGAACTAAAAATGTATCGGTGTTAAAAAGGGAAATTTTGGTTTTTCACTGCAGAATCTATTTGGTTTTAATTGGATCAATTTCATCGATGGTGGGCTTTTTAGGCCTTATGCTGACTTGTCAATCAATAAAGAACTAGAAACTCTACTCTACTCCACCTAACATGGAGATTGCTCAAATGAGACTATTCCATCTATTACCATGGATATTTTCATCCATATTTTTATATGTTCATAAATTTCATATTTACCTAACAGATAAATCAATATTTCTACTATATAGTTAAAAATTTGATAAAATATAAAAAATATCAATTAGTTCACATTAATAAAAGACTTAAACTTATTTAAAATAGTAGAATGTTTATTTGATAAATTATTTTTTAATTTTCATAAAATGAAAACCTCAACATTTATAACCTGTAACCTATGTTCGTATAAACAGAGAATAAAGGATCAGTAAGATGAGTCAAGAGAGTGTATTTCTCTACTGATATATTGAGTGCACCAAATACAAGTATTTATAGGCTTCTGAGTTCTTTAACAGGACGAGAGAAATGATTGACTACTAATAAGAGAGATTTAGTAAATCAAAATAATTTAACTAATTATTCTAATAAATTAACAACTCATTAATAATTCAGCTTGACAATCTATAACTTCAAGAATTTCCTTGCATTTATCTTTTTTTCTTCTTTTAATTTTCATAAACATCTCTCTCAAAAAGAAATTTATTTTCCAATTCAGACCAGACAAATCTTCCTATATATATACAAAAATAAGAGTTGACTGTCTTGTTCAAGTTTGGCATTATTAAAGAATGACCCACTCAGGAAGCGATGCACAAAGACTTGAGGTTAATTAGAGTTTTTATTTTATTTTACAAGCTAATTCTTTAAATTTGTTTTCTATTGAAATCTGAATTTTTAAAAGGTGTTTGGGGGGATATTTTTCCATTTTTGTTATAACTCGTTTCATCTATTTTTCTTCTACTATTAGTTTATATTAAATTAATTAAAACAAGCTATATTGGATTGAAAGTATAAAGACCTATTAGTCACTTTTAAATTTCAGGGATCTATTAGACACAAAATTAAAACTCGAAAGATCTATTAGATACAAAATTAAAAGTGGAGGGATCTATATTAAATACTTTTTAAAATTGATGAATCTATCGGCCATTTTCTAAAAGTCCATGAACTAAATTTGTAACGACTGGGACTATATAATTGTTACAATTTAACACATATTTTTTTTCTAATTCTACAAAAGTTGAAAAATATAATATTAACCATGAAAATTTTTTGATTTTCAGATTGATGTGTTGAGCTAACATCTTGTTTTAAGAACATAAAGAAATGATGTAAAATATATGTTTTAACTAAAATTTGAGGATTTGATTGTAATAATATTTACAGACGAGGGATGATTTGTACATTTTGGAGCATGTAAGGGTATACTTAGCAACCGAAATTTAAGGCTGTGTGATTGTAAAATGGAAAAATAATTATCCAATTAAAATCAATGGTCCCAAATGGTTATTAACTTATTATCAATATTTAAAATGAAAAGGAAAGAAAAGGAAAAGAAAAAGAGAGGCGCCGGCTGGAAATGGTTAGTACTTATTACCAAATGGTTACTATCACGAGCATATAAAAAAAAATGTAAAATAGATTCATGAATTAATAAAAAAAAGTCAAATACGACGATATCAAACCCTTAAAAACTTCAAAAATTTATTAGATACTAAATTGAAAGCTATGAGACGAATTAGACACCATTTGAATTTAGAATGAAATAATTTAACATAATTTTTAAAAAGTAAGAGTGTGTTTGATTGATAATTAGAAAATAGAAATCTGAAAACAAAGAATTCAATAAAAAAAATAGGGCTGGATTATTTGTTTTCTTTTCAGATATGTGTTTTGTAGCTATTTCAAAATTAAGTATCAATTTAAAATATTGTTCAACCTATGTTTAGTAATATATTTGTAAACTACGGATAGTTACCAACTAAATATTTAATTTAATCTAAAATAATATTAATTAATTTATTAATATTTTTTAAAAATAAATTTTATATAATTATTATTTTATAATTTATAATATATTATATTTTACCTGCTTTATTTTTAACAAACATGAAATAAGTTTATTACATTAAATAATATATTTATCAAAGTTTCAAGGTTCTAATAACGTAATTCTATTTTTAAAGTTTCAAATTTAAAATCTGAAAAAACTAAAAACATAACAATGCTGTTTCTAGAATTTCTATAACAGAATTCAAAAATAATTTTTAAATAAAAATCTGTAAAATGCTACTAAATTCATATTCACTAAATCCCTGAGATGAAGTTCAATAAATCCGAAAACAATAAATAGAATCTGAATTCTCAATCAAATAGTTGGTATTAAAATACCCATTAAGATTCCTGACTTCTAAAACCCATTACCAAACACATTAAAAAATAATAATGAAAATATTGAATGAAATACACGATCCATATATATTTTCATCGACAAAAAATTACAGCCATATATATTTTTGTATTTCTATTTTCATATATCACCAACCAAAAATGGGAAACTTATCGTCTTCCTATACAGTCCTTCTCCATCCAGCAAGCTCTGCAATTGTTGACTTGGAAAACCCATGAAATTTTAATACAAAGGAACATCTTCTGAAGCTTCCTTCATCCCTTTAACCAAATATTAAAAACGTAGAATTTGACTTAAACTTCCTTTCAATCGCCTTTCTCTCTCCCAAGTCATGGATTTGAATCTCTCAAGTCAAGGGCTAAAATTTCACACGAGTTTCTCTCTATATCATGTAATTTTTTTGGCAATTCACTTACATAGCTTAACTTGCTGATGGGGATCCACCATCACATTGATTCAGTCAAACTTTTCATCATATAAAACCAAACCATCCTCATAAAACTACTTACAATATTTAATTTCACTGAGAAAAGAAGGCCAAAAAATGCTTCTTCTCCGTAGCTTCTGCGGCCTCTCCTGCTTTCTTGGACTGCTGCTGGTGGGCTTGGGAGCTCCTCAGACAAGTAATGCTCAGGAGTTGTTTAAGTGTCAAAAAAGCCTTCAAAAGACTGCAAGAATTGGAGTGGTTTTCGACAGCGGCTCTCCCATTGGGAAGCAACAGAAGGTGGCAATGAAGATGGCTTTCCCATGTCTTGAATTGGAGCCTCTCCACCTCCATGATTCTCCTGCTTCTTCTTCTGGTAATCTCTTGATGATCTGATCTTCAAGCTTTTTACTTCATTTACCATGTTCTTTGTTGCAACAGAATGCTGCTTATCATCTAATTATTCTGCTTTTGCTTCATTTGGGCCTCTTCCAAAATGGAGTAAAGTTGAGTTACCATTTTCGAGGGACCTACCCAAGTTTCCTACCTCCTTAGCTAAATATATACTAAATAATCTTCCCTAAGTTTTTCAGGTTCTCAAATTTATCTTAATAAATTCTCTAAGTCATTCCACCAAAAAAAAATATTATCGAATTATTATTTTATTAATGTGGAAGGCCATTGATAGTGTCATAAAATGTTAAAGATCCCACGTTGAAAATATATGAGACTTAACAAAAGTTTTATAATACACTTGAGCTACCCAATCTCACCGCTAATTCGTTTTTAAGATGAATCTCATGAATATTGATAACTTAGACTTGTAAATATAGCACTCTAATGACATGTTTTGTAAATTTTAGCCTCCTAGCTTAATTATAACTTATTTTATTTTTGTCATGGTTATAATGGGACAAAAGCAACGAAGAAAAGAGTAATAAAATTAAGATATTAATTATGTAGAATAAATAATCTCCATAGATTAAAAAAAAATTCATAAATAGAGATCGAAGAAGAGAAAGCCTCAAGCGACGACCCATTAGCAAGCATGTGAGATTGTAGTATGATTTTTTATTATTATTTTTTTTAGTACAACATGTTGGGAAGCGGATTCGAACTCAAAATTTCTTAGTTAGAAGTATATACCAATTATCGTTGAGTTATTCTCGCTTTGGCATCTGTAGTATGACTTACTAGGAGATTTTGTACTCTAACAATTAAATGAGTTTAATATAAGAAGAGTATTTGACCGGCCTCATGATTTGACATTGAATTTAATTAACTAATATCTGCATATAAATAATCATAATTAAGTGGGACATACAAATCTACAATATATTTAAGAGTAAGGATAGAATTGATAATTTTAAAAAAACAGATTCAAGAATAATTGATTTTCTAAAATCACCACGTATCTTAAAAATGATTAATTAATTTTAACAATGACAAAAGTCACTCCTGAATCACTTAGTTTTTTCGAAATGCATGAGTAATAGTTCCAAACACATCCTTAACCAAGCTTCTTCAAAACTAAAGAAACAATTACTGTCTTTTTTCCGACAGGATTGGACCTCATAACAAACGGAGAAGTAAAAGCCATTGTCGGATCGGTGACAATTCTGGACTTGATTGTCATTTCCGACCATAAAATTCCTGTCGGAGTTCCCATCGTTTCCACTTCAACTGCACAATTACGGCCACTCAAAATCCCTCCTTTGATTCAAATTGCCAACTATAATATTAACCACCGCATGAAATGTATTGCCTCCATTCTCACCCATTTTCAATGGCGAAAAGTCACAATCTTTCATGAAATTACAAATAATATTGTACATCCCTCCACAAACCCTTCAATCCTAGCACATCGCCTTTCTGATTCGTTTCGATCTGTTAATGTGGAGATCGAACAAGTTCTGACCTTGTCTCCCTCTTCCTCGATCGATCAAGAATTGAAAAAAGTTATGAACAACCAAAGGAAAGGAATTTTTATGGTTACCCAATTCTCTCTAGAGATGGCAGTTCTTCTTTTGACAAAAGCCAAGAAATTGAACTTGGTTGGAAATGGGTATGTTTGGATCGTCTCAGATGACGTATTTGATCTTATTGAAACATCAAATTCTTCATTTTTAAACGAAATGGAAGGCCTCATTGGATTTCGAACCTCTTTTGATAGCACCAAAAACTCATTCAGAAGCTTCGAAGCCAAGTTTAAGAAGGCGTACAATTTAGAATATCCAAATGATGAACAGCCAGCAAAAGCAAGTATGTTTGCCGTTCGAGCTTATGATGCTTCTCGGGCCATTGCTAGAGCCATAGAATCGTTGGGAGAAAATTTCATCTCAAGTGATCAGCTGAGGGAGAAAATTCTAAGGAGCAATTTCGAAGGGCTTAGCGGAAGGGTCAGATTCAAGAATAATGGGATGTTAATATTGCAATCACCAAAATTTCAAATCATTAAAGTGGTGGGGCGAAGCAACAAAGAGATTGCTTTTTGGACATCCAAATTAGGTTTTGTCGAAAGGTCTGTGGAAGTTAATAAAGCTGCCGCCACTAAAATTAAGCCCAATAACGTGAGAAATTATGCAGCTATTCGAGACTTGTCGAGGCTAAAAAAACTGGCTAAGAAAAATTTGAAATTTGCTGTTCCAAAGGATGGAGCGTGTCACGAATTTGTAACAGTGAGCAAAAATTTGGATGGGAATTACATCGCTACTGGATTTTCCATTGATGTATTCAACGCTGTTATGAGCAATATGCCCTATCTTCCGTCCCACGAATTGGTTCCTTTTACCGGCACATACAATGACATGATAGAGGCCGTCCACAACAAGGTAACAAAATTTCTATAATTTTTATTGAACTCAAAAGCATAAATTGATAATTCAAAGGTTTTTTTAACAATTCTATTGATCCACTCATGTGCAGACATATGATGGGGCAGTGGGAGACATAGGAATGTTGGCGTACCGATATCGACATGTCGATTTCACAGCGGCGTATTTAGAGGCAGATATTGTGATGGTGGTAACGGAGAAGAAAGAGAAATGGAAAAAGATATGGGCTTTTATGGATGCTTTTCAACTTAACATGTGGCTGTTAATACCCACCATGCATCTTTTCATTTCCTTTGTTATTTGGATAATTGAACGTCAAAATAACGATGAATTGAAGGGTGTTGGAAACATGTTGTGGTTTTCTGTTTCCATCATCTTTTTCATGCACAGTAAGTTCTAATTTACCTCTCCTAATATTCGACGTGAGAATTATATAAATAGTGTGATTACTAATATCTTAATTAAATAATTAACCTAGGTTCAGATTGAATATTTTCAATCTAATCTTTACAGGGGAGCCCGTAAAGAATGGGTTGGCTCGACTAGTGTTGGGGCCGTGGTTGTTCGCGATTTTGGTGGTGACGACAAGTTTCACAGCAAGTTTGACATCGATGATGACAAAATCTTGGTCTGAGCCGTCGGTGTTGGATGTTGAAACGTTGAGAAAGATGGGTGCGCAGGGCCCGATCGGCTGCAACTCCAACTCTTTCATTTGCACGTATCTCAACGAGACCCTCGGATTTGAGCAGGGTAGAATTAAGAAGATAAACTCCATAGACGATTACCCAGATGCATTTGAGAATGGTACAATTAAGGCTGCTTTCTTGATTAGCCCCCAGGCAAAAGTTTTCCTCGCCAAATATTGCAAAGGCTACACCACAGCAGCTTCCTCTTACAAGTTTAACGGCATTGGCTTTGTAAGTTTTATTATTTTTTTCAACTTTAAATTAGTTAACTTCAAAATTTGTAATTTAAGTTGTTTCATTTTAGGCTTTTCCAAAGGGGTCTGCTCTTGCTGTTAATGTTTCTGCATCAATCGCTGAATTAACCGAGAGAAAACAGATACCACAATTGGAAACCAACGTACTTGCCTCTTTCAACTGTTCTTCAACTGACCAAGCAGATGGGCAGGGCTTAGGGCCTGGACCTTTCCTGGGCCTATTCTCTATCTGTGGCACTATTGCTTTCTTGGTCTTGTTGTATATGGGCCTACAGTTATTGACAACAAAAATGGGCTCGATTGAAAAGCCCAATAAAGCCCAGCAGGCCTTACCCCCTAGACTAGAACAAAGCAAGAGGATTGGTAGACACGTTCATACCTTACAGCTACAGCAACCCCATTTTATTATATATTCATAAATTATGGAGGTGCAATTGTATTTAGATCATTTTAACTGTCACTAGATTTTCTGTTTTGTTTTATTTTTGTCTTTGGTTGAAAGATGGTAGAGTGATGTACATGTATGTACAAAGAGGTCATATCCAATGTGACAAAATTAAAGGAACTATTTTAAAGTTACAAGACTGGGTACTACCATTTTTTTTTAGCCAAAAGTGGTGGGCGGGAAAATTCAAATTCATCATGAATTTTTTTGAATACTGATTTCTTTTGTTGCTTGGATTGTCCTTGTGAAATTTTCTCAACTCATCATGAATTTTTTGAATACCGATTTGTTTTGTTGCTTGGATTGTCCTTGTGAAATGACCACTACATATAAGTGTATTCAAAGGTAAAGGTATTTATCCTCGCTCTATTTATCAAATTCAAAAAAATGACATAGAAATTCAAAATTTAATAAAACACATGATAAATAATGAGAATAACATAAACCATAGTGACTAATATATTATGAAAGTTGGAGTATCCACATGCTTTCATTATCTATATGGTATCTTATCCATTATATATGTCAATAATAATAGGCCAGAAAATAGGTACACAGAAGTTTAGTTAAGTAATAATAATTATTGGGCATATTAACTTATCAACTCTAGAAAAACAAAGCGTTTTTATTGGTACTGAAGAGATATCTTCTCAATAAACTCGGTTATATCCTTCCACATTTTCTTATGACTTTGCTTTTGATTTCATCGAAAAGGTTAAAAGGATCTCGTATCAATGAAGATGTTGTCTATCACTTATGTGCATATTATCTTCTTTGTATCACCACAACAAATTCGAGTTTTTCCCGATGCAACAATTCGTTCCCTTAGAGCTAAAGAATTTGTCGGGAAAATATTTTTCCGACAAAAGTATACCTAGTTAATATAAGACTTTGGTTTCATTTCCAACAATTCTCTTCTCGGACAAAATGTACCATCGAATTTTCTCTGGAGTAGTCTCTGACTCTTATTCAAAACCAACTTCTCTTCCCAACAATAACTTTAAATAATGAATCCACGTTTTTGTTTTTAGAAATAAAGAAAACAAGAAACAATAATAAAGTCCATTTTGAACCAACTCCAGTGGGGAGCCGAGAAACCACTCCCCCACAAGATTATCCATCACTGCCTTGCGCGCAATACCATGGGGGCAAAGAAGTCATTGTTGAAAATAATGGATACGAAGTAAAGCCAATAAATTGGTATCGCACAATTGAATGTGTGGCTACAGAAGAATTTAAGATATAATGTATTTCCTTCAACACAATAATATAATTACTATATCATCGATTACTAATGAAATCAAAATATCTACTATATTATCATTTTTCATGTACACGAGTTGCTATTCCACCAATAATCTTTTCATGAGATGTGCCCTAATTCATCTCGTCCTAGAACTAAATTTAAAAAAAAAATCGAATCTTCAACCACCAATTATGCGTCTTGCGTGTGATTTTAAACAACGCGTTTATAATTGAAATGTCCAGAAAAGTTCTTCTTCAATTTCTTTCGAATAATTAATCATATGCTCCTCAAATTCTGCAAATATTCGAGACATTGAGAAATATATAGAAAAGTATTTTGAAAATGAGAATTAGATCTTTATTTTTACTTTTGTGTAGTTAAATGATTTTTTATGGATGAGCATGATAGGGATATTCTAAACCTTTGTTAATTAAAATGGTTTTGAAATTAAAGTTTGATTGCAATGTCATGTAACTAATCTTGGTTCTAATCAAAGATTGATATATTTAGTTTTGCATGAGAATTTGATGAGCTTTTTTTAATAGGATTAAATAAGATTTGTTTTTGTTTTATTAATTAGATTGGTATTCAAAATTGTATATATTGATTTTGATACCTTAATTAATTAATAAACAATCACAAATTAATTCCAAATAAATTAATATGATTTTCTTTAATTCAATAATCATAAAGATGGAAATTGAACTCTATGTGCTACGTAACATAATATACATGATCTGAGTTGTTCTTCTCCCTGTCAATTAATTTTTAAATAAAATCTCATAAATATTTATAAAATATTAAAAGATGATAAAAGATGTTTTATATGCTAACTAATTAACGTCGGAATGACAATTAATTTAATTAATTGATTTGCAAGTATAATGGCTAATTTTATGTGATTACATAAGGAAAAGTCCGAGAAACTTATTAATTCAAGTCAACGTTGTAAGTCAAGTTCAATGGATATTCCATCGAATGTGCTCTTTTTTTTTTTTTGGACAAATTTGTTAAAAAAACAGATTTATTAAATAAATTATAATAGCTTTAGATGTTTCATAAAGCGGTACAAAATTTATGGTAGCTGGGGGACGAGTATCTTGACTTAAATATTGGCAAGTCATATAGACCCATGAACTCTTGAAATTAATACAAGCCTATCTAGTTACAACCTCCGATTTTCTTTTCACTAGTATAATGAGATCTTTTTAAACATTATTAAATTACCGATCAATTCAAAAGTTTAAATCATCGATAATATATGAATTCAAGCACAAGACTCTATGTTTTGATATACTATTCTTAAACATGATTACATCACCAATCAATTAAAAAATTAAACTTATGAGTTCATTTGGTGATCTAATCCTGTTTAAATTACTCTCTCGTTCATTACTAATATTGTGAAAAAGTTGGCTCTCGATAGTTTTATAAGTATTCTCAAAAGTAACAATTTTTCTAGCTATTAAATAAATTTTACAAAAAGTTCAAATTAAGAGCATGCCTCAAGTGTACTTTTCAATTTTTTTTTAAAATTATTTGGACTGTGTAATCAAGAAATATTATAAAATACTTTTTAATTGGTTAAAATGTTATGAATGTTATATTATATTAGTACATAGGTGTTTTGAGTTCTCTAATAATTTCCAGTATGTCAAGAGAATTTGAATATAGAATACAAATCAAAAGTGATAATTAAACACATTGTTATGGTCGTGACAATAAGAAATAAACATTGGATATGAAAAAGATAATGGAAACTTTGTCACTAACAACTGACCTTTCTAGGTTTAGTTTATAATATATAAAGAATTTTAAGCTGTTTAAAAAACCAAGTCAAGCTCACCCCAAATTAATCAAGATTAAAAGACAAATAATTACCGTAAATTGTAATGTGCATTGCTGAAAAGATTGCATGTGCAGCTACAATTTAAGGCCAATAAATTGCAAAGTGATAGGATTTAACTTGTGTGGCTACAAGTGTAAGTTAAGACGTTATTGTCCCTTGTCTTGGCTACATTTTCAAAGGGGCACAAGAAATTTTGCTCGCAATTAATGTAATATGCCTACAAACAGAGACTCAAAAAGTCCAATGGACTAAGACCTATTATTATCAAACCAGCTTGTCATGGCCGATTGTACCCATTCATTTTTATAATTACTTATTACAAGTTAGAAACTTTGAGTCTCATCTATTTTCAATCATATATTTAGATTTGAAATGTATGAGAAATTGTTTGGTTTAATTTCTTCACGAAATTATTATAGGTGATGATTTATACTCATAAGATATTTTGTACATTAACAACTATTTTGGAAATAAATTTTATTCTATTTGTATTCCTTCTATCTGAAAAAGGAAAAGATTTCAAAGTATTCATCTTTCTTGGGTGTTTGAGTCTTTTTTTTAATCGATTAAATATCTAATTGATTGAAATTATTTTTTTGTTGATGATATAAGTTTTAACCAAATAAATGATTTTGGAGTTATTGATGATTGGATGTCATAGGTAATAGATAGACTACCAATAATTTTATAGTATCAAAGATTTTTTTTTAAAGTTAAATTTGATTTATCGGTGAATAAAAAAAGAATTTTATTTTTATTAAGTGTAGAATGAAGGAGATATTTGCAGATAAGAATTCACTTTAACAAAGTCGAGAGTTCGATTTTCCATCCCACTCTTTGCTGTTGTTATATTGAAAAAATAAAAATAAAAGAGGAACTTAAACATATAGGTATATATTTCCAAAAACAAAAACCACACACACAAAAAAGAGGATATTTCGATATCCTACCAAATTTATGTGGTAATCAATTTAAAGCATTGGTAAGATTATTTATCATTCTTTATAAAATAAATGGTGGAAACACAACCTTTACACTAAAATATATTATTTATTAGAAAAAATTATATACCTTATCCGTTTAAAAAATTATTAATATCTATCTTTCATTATTCAAATTTAAATAAATCTTGTAGTTTTTAGCAAATCATATATAATGGTAATAATAATATAAATATAAGTTTTTATTTGTTTTTTTTCCCCAAAAGACCGTGTTAGTAACTTAGTACTTATGTTTGAAAAACTTAAAATTTAAAATTATGAAATGAGATAAATTAAAATAAATTAGAATTTATCTCCCTAATATGAAATAATATGATATTTTATATACATATCTATTTGTTGTTTCTTTTTTCTTTGACTTCGGACTCAAATCTGGATCTTTGGAGACATATTTACTTGTTAAAGTGACAAACTTAATTTTAAATATATGCAAACTATAGATTTATCTTCCGTGGAATTTGAATATTATTGATCCATATTTATTTGTTAAAGTGACAAACTTAATTTTAAATATATACAAACTATAGATTTATATTTGGTAGAATTTGAATATTATTTGTGAAATTTAAAAATTACAATATATGATCCAACAGGATGAGAATAAATTTTAAACTATTTAAAATTATATTAGTGCATAAATAAGCCTAAATAAAAAAAGTCAAACCTTCTAATTTTTTTAGGGAAATTCTACAGCAGCAAAAGTCTTTTATCTTTTATATATTTTCAAAATATGTCAACTTGTTTTTTAAAATTTTCAAATATAGCACAAATCTTCATTTATATAACAGTTTATCAAATACTCATATTAATAGTTTATCAAATATATATCATATATATATTGTACAGACACTTAGTATATCAGATGTATATGACATACATATATCAAAATCAGATATATCATAAATATATTACAGATTTATATTATTTGAGCAAAGTTGTCATTTTAAAATTGGACCTGTGTTTTTTTAAGGGCTATATTTGAAAAACTAAATGTGTGATTGCTATTTTGCTAATTTTACTAAATGTTTTTGTCATATTTGCAACTGACCATTTTTTTTATATAAATAATTAAATATATTAATGATATATATTTTTTTCAATAGTCAAATATACAATTAAAAAATAATTTTACTTGCATCAGCTGACCTTTAGTACCAGGAAACAGAGGCAGAACAATTCTGTAACAGAGCAGGCACAAGAGTTCACTAATAGGTCAACCCCGAGAAGTTTGGACCAATAAAAAAAAAAAAATAATAAAATATAGTGGAAGTTAAACTTTCAATTTTCTAAATTTTAAGGAGGTCTAATAACTACATAAACTTAAAAGATTATATCTAATAAGTTTTTATTTTATTAGATTTTTATTTTTAATTTTCAGACCTATTAAATAAAAATTTGAAAGTTATAAAGTTTATTAAATACAAAATTCAATCTTCTGTCAAATTTATTAAGGTCATGTAAGATACAAAATTGAAAGTTTAAAGATTTATTAGATGCAAAATTAAAAATTAAATGATCTATTAGACACAAAAGTAAAAGTTGAACGATACTTTTAAATTTCGAAGACCGATTATATACCCATTGAAAATTTTATTGAACAATTTCATAAACCTATAACCCAAACTAATTTGTAAATGAAGCTATGTAATTAATTGCAAACCTGAAATACTCAACTGCTTAAGGCTAGAAAAGTCATGCCACCTTCCTCCTCCTTTCCCGAAAGTTTGAAAGTTAAAGGTAACGGTAGAGACAAGGGCCATAAATATGCATAATAATTCAATCTCCAGCCCTCTCACTTGAAAGATAAGTCTCTCTTAGTACAATTTGTGTCATCCGATCGATCCCCATAAGCTGAAAAATCAAATGATATTTGGGGCTGCACTTTCTTTCTTCTGTTTGGTTGGGTTTCTTCTTCAGCTGGAGGGATCAACGTCATCAGAAGCTCACTTCAGATGTTCCGCCGCCGGCGCCGACCACCGGAAAAATAGAGTTGTGAAGATGGGAGTAATTGCTGATAATAGCTCCCGGCTGGGCAGGGAACAGATCGTGGCCATTCATATGGCCCTCCAAAATTATCCTTCATTTAATTCTTGCCATAAGCTGCAGCTCCTCCTCCTCGATTCGCCGGACAACTCTGCCCACGCAACCGCTACCGGTAACATTCATCTAATAGACGTTTATTAGTGATAAATGTCTTCACTAATTATTAGTATTAGATACTAGTACATAGACTAAACTTGTCTATCAATAAATATCACTAATCTATTAGTGTTATTCGTGAAAACGTCAATCTATCAATAATATAAAATTAAATACAAAATTTTAAATAGACTCATCAAAAATTTTATATTATTTTCAAAATCAGAATCTTTGTTGGGGTGCGAATTGAATTGCCACTCATAAAATTTTTTCTTTTTCTTTTTTATTTTTAAAATTACATTGGACCTCCCTATTAAGATGGCAAAAAAATTAGTTGGACCCAATCCTTACACGAACTCGACTTGATTGGGTTGGGAATCTCCAATTTGATAGGGTATTGGTGTCAAATCAAGAATTTAATGGGGTCTCTCGAGATAGGATAGGGATAGGTAAGGATATCCCTATTTGTCATCGTCAACGGTCCCCTATTGTGTAATGTTTAAATAATAAAATATTAAATATTTATTACATGTATAATAATATATTAATTTTTATAAATATTTATTATATTCTATTTCACCCCTTCAAAGTTTATTTTTTTCAAAAATTAAAGAAAAAATAATTATACTACAAAATAAAATAAAAAAAGAGAGAAAAAAGAAAGGTATCCCAATTGATAAAGAAGGGACTCACCCCCTTCTCAGCTTTAAAATTTCGGAGATTAGGGCAGAGATGGAGAGAAAAAACCCCAACTAGATCGGAGATGGGGATTGCCCCGATCCTGCCCCATCTTGTGCTCCATCTCGTTTCCATCCTTACTCCTTAAATTTGAAAATCATAAGTAACAATTTAGTTCATTTACTAAAAATTTGTAATGATTTCATCACATTGTGAGTTTGTTACTTTTACCTAGATTAATAAATTCTCGAGACACCAACTCCCTTTAAATCATTACAAACTTTAAATTACGAGCTAAATCTCATCACTTTCTTTTAACATTTTTTTCCCTTACTTTCATTACAGCTTTGGATCTAATTACCCACAAAAAAGTAGAAGCCATGTTTGGAACATTGACAAGAGAGGAAGTATCTACCATATATGAGCTTCATAAACCCTCCATGAACATCCCCATAATATCCTTATCTACAGCTTCCTTAGTACAACCATCGACAATAATGCCAATTCAAACGTCGTCGTTCATTCAAATGGCCAACGACATCACCCACCAAACACGGTGCATTGCGGCCGTTGTCGGCCAATTCCGGTGGCGGAGAGTCACCGCACTCTACGAGAACAAAAACGGCGGCGACTTCACCACCAACATGGCAATTCTAAAACTCCTATCAGATTCGCTCCGAGATTTCAACTCAGAGATTGAAAACCACCATGATTTCTCTTTATCAGATCCGGAGCCACTGATTGAAGAGAAGCTCATGAATCTCAGCAGAAACACAAATAGAGTCTTTATTTTAGTGCAATCTTCCGTGGAGTTGGCCACCCTTCTCTTCACAAAAGCTAAAAAATTGAATATGATGGAAAATGGATATGTATGGATTGTTGGCGATGACATGGCCAACCTTCTTGATTCTTTAGATTCCGCTGCTTTCAGTGACTTGCAAGGCGTAATTGGGTGTAAGATCTACTTTGAAGAAACCAAAAACAGATTATTCAAGAAATTCAAGACCAAATTTCGGAGGAATTATATGTCTAAATTCTCGGAAGATGAAGGGCGAGGTGACCCCAGCATCTTTGCCCTTCGAGCTTATGATGCTTGTACCGCCGTTGCCTCTGCACTGGACGAGCTGCAGGGAAGGCCAAGTGGACAGCAATGGCCACAGAAAGTTTTGGAAAGTAAATTTGAAGGTGTGAGCGGGGTGGTGAGCTTTAAGAAGGGCATATTGTCGCAGTTACCCACCTTCCAAATCATTAACGTTTTCGGAAAAGGGTATAAAGAGATTGCATTTTGGTCACCAGAGCTGGGATTTTTTGATAAATTCTCCCAACAAACGAGCACAAATGCAAGGACTGGAAATGCTTCCTTCAATTTTTCCAGCTTAGTCTTCTGGCCAGGTTTGTGTAACCTAAACCTCTCCCCGACAAAGAAAAATACTTGGGACTTATTAAAAATTTGACACAATTCTGCATTTAAAATATATATATATATAATCTCTCCAACTTGTTAAACCATTTAATGATGGTAAACCAAAACATATATATATATATACAACTTGGCTCATAGAGAAACTCTGCGTTTTTAAATATTTGACAACTTTATTTTTTAAAAGAAATTTTTGTTTTTGTATTTTTCTATCTTAATTTTAAAATATCTTAATTTTAAAACATTTAGGGGCAGCAAGAACAAACTTTGAGAAGAGTTAAGTTTTTTACTGGTAGAAGAGAAAAGAGAGAAAGAAAGGAAAAAGAATATTTTTTAAAAGTAAATAATTGTCAAATTTCTAGCGGTAGTCGAAAATAGTCTGGAAGGAAATATTATCGGTTGTATTATCGGTTCTAAACATGCATAATCAAGACCACCAATGCCAGTATTTGTAGAATAATTAAGCACTAATCAGGTAATTAAAGACAAATGAAATATTCACAGGGAATGCAAGAAGCGTGCCAAAGGGGTGGGATTTTAGTAACCTTAAGAAACCATTGAGGATCGGAGTTTCAACCAAAGCTGCTTTCCAAGAATTCGTACGAGTGAACTACAACCACACAAATGGGCCTCATTTCTCCGGCTTCTCCATCAGCGTGTTTCAAAAAGTTGCAGCCAATTTACCTTACTTCTTGCCCTACAAATTCCTTCCTTACAATGATTCTTATGATAGTTTGCTGCAAAAAGTCCACAACAAGGTATAAAACCAAACAAAAATTGATCTCTCTTTAGTACACATCCTAGAAATTAAACTGTGGCTATATATGATGCAGGAGTTTGATATGGCAGTGGGAGACTTTGGGATATTTGCAGATCGATTTGAGTACGTAGATTTTTCTGAACCATATTTGGATAATGCAGCGGTGATGATAGTGAAAGAGAAGCCACTGAAGTGGGCGCAATCAATGCTTTTCATGAGAGCTTTCACTCCACAAATGTGGCTGCTCATGCTCTCCATGCATATATTTGTGAGCTCCGCAATTTGGCTGATTGAGCGTAAACATAATGATGCATTGAAGGGATTTGGAAACATGTTATGGTTCTCGGTATCCGTCATTTTTTATTTACATAGTAAGAAAAATTTCATCATCTGTTTGAACTTCTGTGTTGTGGTTCCTGTCTTTCTAATAAACTTTGTATATGTGATATGCAGGAGAACCAATAAAGAGTGGGTTGGCCCGATTTGTGTTGGGGCCATGGCTATTCACCATCCTTATTGTAACAGCAAGTTTCACGGCAAGTCTGTCATCGATGATGACGATCTCAAGGTACCAACCATCTTTTTTGGACATTGAGACCCTGAAGCTGAAAAATGCGACAGTTGGATGCAACAATGGCTCAGTAATGGTGAGATTTTTGTCCCAAGTGTTGTCGTTTCCTGTAGGGAATATCAAACAAATATCCGGTGTGGATCGATTTCCAGAAGCCTTGGAAAAGGAAGAGATTCAAGCAGCTTTCTTCTCCGGTCCCCATGCCGAAGTTTTCCTCACTAAACATTGCAAATACTACACCAGAGCCACCATCTTCAAGCTCGTCGGCATGGGTTTTGTAAGCTTTTACTCATCTCTTCAACAAAAATATATCGTGTTTAATAGATTCTTCAAACTTATTTTCAATATCAACGAGGACCCTAAACTTTAAAAGTGTCATATAAGTTTCTAAAACTTTTCATTTTAGATCAAATAATCATCAACTTATTCAACGTTTTTCAAAATTTATTAAGATCATGACCTTTCAATTTTATTTATGATACGTTTGTAAATTTTGAAAAAAGAAAATATATGGTTTATGTAAAATTGAAAATTTAAAAGTTTATTAGGCCATGTTTAAAGTTCAGGCTTTTCCAAAAGGGTCTCCGTTGACCGTCGACATATCAGAGTCAATAGCGGAGCTGATTGAAGAAAGGAGAATGCCGGATCTGAAGACGACATTGCTCTCCACCTTCAACTGCTCCTCAGGCACAAACGACAATGATATAAACGGGTCGGGTTTAGGACCCGAACCTTTTGCCGGTTTGCTTCTGATTTCAGGTGTCATCGCTTCCACAGCAGTTCTAATCACCGCTTGTCGTCTCGTATTAATGAGGTTGGGCTGGATCACAAAGCCCACTTCATTCAAAGCCCAAATCTTCAATTTGATTAGATTAAGACCCTCTTAATTGCCCCTAATGTATGAAGTTTTCTCATCTTGAGAAACTTTTTTAAGGTTTTGTTATATTATCTAATACGCGTGATGTACGCATATCTTATATATAGGATAAAATAAACTTCTTTATTTTCAACGCATGAACATAGTTCAAACCCAGACAAGCTTAATTCAAACATTAATTGACATCTATTTTTAATCTAGAGGAAATTTTCATTGTTGCAGTTAAAAAAATAATGTTAACAGTAGAATTATTATTTTAAAATCTTATTGCATAATGCGGTGAAGTTTGTAATTCAAGCTAGAGACAGTTTGAGAGGAGTGAATTGTTTTTGAATGGTTGACTAAATTTTAGAATCTCAACATTTTCAATTCTACCTCTATCAGACAATACCTAAAAACGTATATTTGGAAATCAGTCTGATACAAAAATAGACTGCTAGGCAAGCAAAAACCTTAAAGGAAAAAAATACTTTGAATTTTCATCGGTTAGGTAGTCTATTCAACAAAAATATCCTTATAGGTAGTCTATACATTTATATAAAGTTGGAATAATAAGGGTAAGAAAATAGGTATACTAAAGTAATCTAAATTACTTTTTAAGTACTGACAAATATTTGGCATATTAAACAGGGAAGGAAACAACAATGCAGGGTACGAACACAGGATCTCCCACTCTGATACCATATTAAGGATGAATAAACCATCATTCAACTCAAAAGTTTAAAATGATGGATTGGGTAAATTTAATTCATATATTGGATATCTAATAGACTTTGATCACATTTATAACAATCCTTATTCCTCTCCTTGAACAAAATACTATCCAACCGTCCTTCAAATAGTCATTCATCATCTACTCTGGCTAGCCAGCTCAAACTCTTCTCCCACTTCAAATGAATCAGCATTAAAGAAAAGTTATGCATAAATAAGTTATTGCTGAAAATAATAGGCACAAAGTAAAGCTAGCTAATAAATTGCTATCGCACAATTGAATGTGTGGCCACAAGTGGGATTTGTTTAGAGCAGATATGTATTTCCTTCCGCTCAAATGAATAAAAGATATATAAATGGTTGGATTGGTAAAATAGTACGAACAAAGTCCTACGTTGGTGAGTTGGTGAGGTGATCCATGATAAATAAGATAAATAATTATCTACATTGGTTGGAGGCCTTTTGGTGAAACCAAAACACTAAAAGGAAATGTCCAAAAAGAGGTTTCAAGACAATGACAAATATTTCTCTAAGTTCGGTGAATATATATTCCCGACAATGACAAATATGTAGAAATGTATTTTGGAAATAAATCGGAATAGACCTTAAATATTTCTTTTATTGATGAGGTTGATATTCTAAACCTTCATTAATAGAAATGACTTTAAGTTGGAGTTAATGTTTGGTTTAAAAGTTTGATTTAGATGCAATGACATTTATTTTTGGAATAAATATTGTTTGCGAGATTTGTCTTGTTTCTAATAAAAGATTGATATATTTGGTTTTGCGTGAGTTTTTCAGTGGAATAAATGATATTGATGTTCGTTTTATTAGATTGACATTGAAAATCTTATAAGATTTTTATGCATTAATTAATTAACGCATCACAAATTAATTCCAAATAAATTAATTTATTTTGAGTTTAAATCAATTCTCTTACGTTTAATTTACAATAGAAAAATAATCTTCAGTTGTTTGAAAAACTAAGCCAAAAACTCGACCTCAAATTAGTCAACATTAAAAGACAATAAAATTAAGTTGCATGTGTGGCTACAATTTAACGCCAATAAATTGGAAAGTTGACACGATTTAACGTGTGGCTACAAGTGGGAGTTAAGATATTATTGTCTATTGGTATTCAAAGGAGAGAGAAGATAATTTACTTGCAATTAATGTCGTAATGTACCTACAATATAATATATAGACTCAAAAAGTCCAATATTAGCGGATGATTTACTCATCAAATATCCTGAACATTAGTACTAAAAAATATCAACATTAGTTAGAGTTTATAAGAGAAATGCAAATAGTAAATGGTAAATAGCATAATTCATGGTATATATAGATGAAACAATTATGTTGGTTGGTATGAAACATTTTGGTTGTATGAGATCTTTTGGATGAAATCAAAAGTAAAGCCGTGAGGCTTATGCCAAAAGCAGACAATATCATACCATATGTTGGGTTCTAGAAGCGACAATGAGGGGCAGGACCACAGACGATTATCACCGTACTCTGTGTAGGCATACAGGCGCGACGCCACCGTCGTTGTATGGGGAGACGTCGAGGACTGCAGTCTAAAACCTGCAAACTGTAGGTTAACAGACTTGCATAGGTGAAAGACACCACTCATTGATTGTCGGGAGCGCACGCACCTCTGCCAAGATCTCGTACAGCCGGGCGTGCCTCTACCCCACCAACACCAAGAGGTAAGTGAAAAACCTGTTACTAAAAATTTTTAAGGTGTCTACTCATAT